CCCTCCCTCAATAAGCAGCAGTCATTGTCGGGAATAGTCTCAATAGTCTGATCTATCTTTTGTTTTTCCTCATCTAATCTTATCTTTGTCCTCATCTAATCTTATCTTTTTCCTCATCTAATCTTATCTTTCATTTTCTTTTCTCTGACCTTATTTTTCTGATCTTATCTTATGTTCTTCCTTATTTGACCTATTGCATCTGATTTTATCTTACGTTTTTCTTTATCTGAACTTACCTGTCTGATCTTATCTTATGTTTTTCTTTATCTGACCTAATCCTTCTAATCTTATCTTTCCTTTTCCTTTATCTGAACTTATCAATCTGGTTTTATTTAATGTTTTTTTTCGTTATCTGACCTAATCCATCTAATCTTATCTTACGTTTTTCTGTATTTGAAGTAAGATAATAGAACTTATCCATCACTTGACTTGACTGTGCACAGGTGAGGATTCGTGCCTTTGACAACGGTCAGCCAGTCCCCCGCACCAACACCACCGTCCTTGTTGTGTCCATCCTGCGGAACCTGAACCGGCCCCTCATCGCCCCGCTGCTCTACCAAGAGACCATCCCAGACAGCACGCCACTGGGCACCAACATCACCACCATCTTTGCCTCTGATGCTGATGTAGCTGTGAGTTTCTATGTGCTCGTTGTGAACAAAACTGCCAACTAGTGCATTCAAAAAATAAACCCAAATATTTTTAATAGGTTTTTGAGGCTCTGAGTACAGAAGTCTCTTTTTGTATTCATCATTGCCTTTCTCTCCCTGGATCAGGATATAGGCTACGAACAAACACTTTCCATCTTTCCCTAAACTGGACGAGTCGCTTAATGCCTTCCCACATTTCGTATTGGAGAAGACATATTCTCTGTTTTCTAGTTTTGCTTCTCACAGACTTGTCGTTATTGAAGAAAAGTTGTGAACTTTTAAGACATCATCTGTGAATAATAATGCAAACAAAGTCCATTAGTCAATTTGAGGGCCCCCTTCCTTCTCCTTCTCCCCCTCCAGATTGTCATCATTTTCATCATCATTATCCTCTCTTCCTCCTCCCTTCCTCCTTCTTTCCTCCTCCCTTTCTCCTTCCTTCCTCCTCCCTTCCTCCTCCCTTCCTCCTCTTCCTTCCTCTGCTCTTCCCTATCCCTTTTCCTGTGCCCATATAACCTTTTCAATGACCAGTTTTGAAAAGAATCGGTATTGAGCCTACGTTTAAGTAAAAGTTTTTATTTTGTATAAATTCTGTCTAGAACTCAACAAATACTCAAAAGCTTTGCTTATTTTTTGCCTCCGCAGCCTCCTCATAACTTGATTCGCTTCTCGGCACGAGGAAGCACAGCTGCAGCGACAGACTTCTTCTTTGTGGACTCAGTGACGGGAGCGGTGTTTGTGAAACAAGGGCTCACCCTGGACAACAACCAGAACTCTTTCTACGAGGTAAACGCTTCAGGTTTTTAAATCTTCATGTCTTTCAGTGGATAGTTTCTTGATCATTGAAAGCACGACAAAGCTGAAGAATATACTATTAACTCCATATGGCTCTGAATTGTTGAGAGCCTGATTCCACAGTGTTATGACACATTTCATCTATGATAGCCTGTGTGTTTCTGTACTCAAAAAGAGTAGAAAAAGTAAAAGCCATATTATTACTATTAAAGCGCATTGAGCTACCTTTTTGGAAATGCGCTATATAAAAGTTATATATTATTATTATTATTATCTAATCATTAGCTGGACCTGGACATTTTCATTTAAAATTCCTGGAAAGTCTTGTTTGTGGACTATCCCCCTTGTTTGAATCCCAGACTGGCTGTTCTTGAATTCTGATCATTTTGTGGAGTTATCAAGGCTCTCAACCCATTTGAGTCCTGTTGGGAACAGACGTTAAATTTGGAGGTCCCACTTCTTAAATAACCCAATAGTGTTGAGAAAAGTGTTAAACCAATACACTTACAATAAACTAATTGTTTGTGCTTACACTATCCCTTTGCTGTAACAGTGGCGTTGGCAGCCTAGCATTTAAGGCTACTGGACTCGTAATCGTGAGATTGAGGGCTCGAGGGTTCGAGCCTCAGCTCTGTCCGCAGTTGTATCTTTGGGAAAATTTAAAAAAAAAATAAAAAAAATTACACTTTTATTTGTCCCAGAAGGGCACTTTGTTTTACTATGGCAAACATACATACATAAATACATAATTATAAATACGTACATACATAAATACATACATGCATAAATACGTACATAAATACACACTATTACACAAATACAGAATAGTTTACAAACAATGCCACTGTCGGTCGCCACTGTGCAGCGCCCTGTAATTTGAGCTAGGGTTTTCGTGTCTTGCTCAAGGACACACTCCAGTGACCACCCATCTGATCCCCGTGTCACCGACACTTGCTTGACATTGCTTGAGTCAAAACTCACTACTCACTTAGCCACTGGAGCCCCCAGTGGCACTTTACATGAAATTCCTATATGGCTCAGTCCTTTCGGAGATGGGCGTTAAACCTATACCATTTCTCCATTTTTTTCTTTGCCGTGACTCAGTTGTTTGTCACTGCCACGGACTTGGGAAGCCCTCCGCTGAGTTCTCCTGAGGAAGCCACCGTGCAAATCACCGTGACCCGGAATCGCAACACACCGCAGTTCTTCAATACGCCGTTCATTACCACCATCCCAGAGACAGAGACTCCCGGAAACACCATCTTCCAAGTGGATGTCATTGATGCGGATGTAGTGGTAGGTCAAAATACATTAAAAAGCTTTAATATGCCCCTGACAAACTGCAATTCATATACATGGAATTCTTGTAATTTTGAAAAGCTCAACAGATTCCTTTGCTTTGTTTGACAAACAGATTAAAGCATCTTTTGCATCATTGTTTCTTTTTCTTAAAAAAAAAATCATTTTGTTGTCCCAGAAATAGCTTAATGTTTTAACTAAACCAGGACAGGCTTGATTCTGGCTGTTAAAAAAGTAATTCAAAGACTAGATTAATGTAATTAAATGTTCATCAAATAATTATCAAATCCATCTTGTTAACAATGTTAGGTATTTCATTGATCTTGACGTTGACCATGATTGAGATGTAAGCCAGACAAAAAAGTTTATGGATCACAAGGTCTGCATTGGATCTACAACATTCAACATTTTGTACCTTGGAAATCGGTGAGGTCCATAGAAAGTAGATGAAACATGTCCTTTCCGTGGTCTTGTTTGCAGGTTCCATTTAACCAAGTGACTCTCACAGCCATCGGAGACGACAGCGCCAGAAATTACTTTTCCATCAACAACGCCGGAGAAGTGCAGGTCATCAGTGATCTCAGATCGGACACTTTGTCGTCTTACACTGTGAGTAGATTCCGTAACCCAGAGACGGGGCATGAATCATATTATTGCTAGTTTTGGATGTGTTTTTGGCTGTGTGAGAACAACTTAAAAAGTTGATGTGAAAAAGTAATGCAATATGTCCGTCAGCTTTTGTTTACCCCTTGCCCAATCCTATCAAAATAAAGTCATATGATTAGTCTAACTTTGTGCAGGTGATACGTTAACTATCATCAACACAAACATGATAAGGTAAGTTTTGTAAATGGTACACTACCTTTATGTAAGTTTGATTTTTTTACCTCTTGCCCAATCTCATCAAAATAATGCCATCTGATTAGAATTACGTTATGCACATGATGTGTTTGCTTTAGCCAACACAAAGATATGATGTGGAAAGTTTTGCAAATGCTAGACTACCTTTATGTAAGTTTCTTTACCCATCTGATTAGAATTACATTGCTCATATGATGTGTTTGCTGTTGTCAACACAAAGATGTATATGATAAGGTAAATTCTGTAAAGGGTAGACTACCTTTCTGTCACTTACTTACTTTCTACCGGTTACATCATCTGGTGTTTAGGGCAGCTACAAAGGATCTCCAGCTCTGTCTGTTTTGGGCCATCTTGGTCAACGTCCCCCACGAATGGTTCCAGGACTTCATTTCAGACTCTACTGTTCGTCTCCAGGTCACTTTGGGTCTGCCCCTCTTCCGATGTCCTTCAGGTGTCCAGGGGAGGGCAGTCTTTACAATAGAGTCTGATTCTCTTCTCAGAACATGCCCAATCCATCTCCCTCTTCTCCTTGTTATTATTGTGGTCATGTCCTCTTGCCTACCTTTCTGTCAGCTAAAACTGACGTTGTCGTGGTTGTTCTCAGCTGCGTTTGGAGGCCAAAGACGGAGGCAGTCCAGCTGCGAGTGCCACAGCACTGGTCACCATCAACGTGCTGAGAAATCTCTTCGCACCAGAATTCGTCAACACGTCCTACACGGCAAGAATCTTTGAGACACAGGGTCTGGGTTCGGCCATCCTTAGAGTGCAGGCTTTTGACCAGGACACAAGGGTGAGTGGAAGAGAGTTTGGTACATGTCTTTTCTGCTTTGTTTAGTCTTAGTAAAAGTTTTACGGCATTTGCAACGCAAGAAGGTCATATAGGTGAGTAAAATTCGAGGTGTGACTAGAGACTGACTTACAGAAAAAAAGGAGTGGGAAAGAAGGAGCGAACTACAGTAGAGCATCCACCAACCACCCATGTTTTCTGCTCTTATAAAAAGTTTTCTCTACTCTCTCACATCCTCATGGACATTGACTCACACACATAAATATACACACACACACACACACACACACACACACACACACACACACACACACACACACACACACGCACACACACACACACACACATGCACGCACTATCCATCCATCCGTCCATCCGTCCATCCATCCATCCATCCATCCATCTATCTATCTATCTATCTATCTATCTATCTATCTATCTATCTATCTATTTATGTATCTCTCTGTCGATTCATATAATATCCATCTATCCTTATATCCATATATCCATCTATCTCAAAACTGGTCAATGTTTTTGTGTTGTAGTCGCCCCAGAATATCACAAGGTACAGTATTCTGGACGACGGTCTCAACAATCAAGGTGAAGAATATTTCTTCGTGGACTCTGTCAGTGGCAGCGTGTTCCTCCGCTCCTCTCTGCTCAACGACCCTGTGAAGAGAACCGTGTACACGGTGAGTACACAGACGGTTTGTCTAATGTCGGCTGGGCATAGATTTGTGTTATGATATCTGTCCTTGTCCTTGTCCTCAGTGTTGGGGTCACCACAGTAGGAACATGTCTCAGCTCTCCCCCCCCCCAACCCCAACCCCCTTCTTCAGGATCCATCCCAGAGTCCATCTGCTTACAGTTCCCATCCTAATCTGGTTGGAGATCCGTGATATCTGTGATTGATCTAAAGCACTTAGAGCTTATATTCGTATGGGATAGAGCGCTATATAAATTCCATCTATTATTATTATTGTTATCTCTAAGACTGCGCTCTGATCTGATTCAAGTTCACAATGGAGAATACCATTTGAGTCTATTTGGAACCAAGTCAAGGGAAAGGGGTGGGGGGTGGGGGGGAGTTGAGAAAACACTTGACTATAGTGAGACTTGTGTTTTGCCCTTCATTTATGCATCAATGAATGTTTTATAAAGAGCATAGAGAGGTGGCTATGACAGTGCCTGGTCTAGGGTGTTATAAGTCTATCTACAGTGCCATAGAAGATTTGCCTATGTCTGTGGTATCATAGTTTGTTTCACTAGTGTTTGGTGTATAAAGTTTAGGCACTCTGCTGTTGCTTGCAGAAGGCCTGAGTTCCATTCCTGAGAGGGGAGAAAATTAAGTGACAATAGTAAATTGAATTGTACTGATACGCCATGAGATCAGGACATTTATGTTATGGAAATCATAATATTTTCATAATTACATGTAAAATAAATAACTCCTTTCTCCTCACATGCCTTCTCTCTACTCGTGAGGGTGGCATTTTATATGTGTGAATGCACAAAGCAATTGAATAAGTTTCGGGAGAGATGAGAATCTAATGTATTTTCTTTGATTGACATTTATCGTGTTTTCTCTTTGTGGCGTCGGTGGCCTAGTGGTTAGGCTCTCAGACTCGCAACCGTAAGGTCGTGGGTTCGAATCCCGTCAGGGGCCCGACGTTGTGTCCTTGGGAAAGGCACTTTACACGAATTTTCCTCACTTCACCCAGGTGGGAATGGGTACCCGGCTATAGACAGTGAAAGATCTTGTCAGTTTGTTAGTGTTTGAGCGCTTAATCGGCTGCTTGCACTGTATGCTTCCCGGGAAGCTGAGAATGTTTCGGAATGTTCTATGGTCTGCTGGGGTAATAATATAGTGTAAAGCGCATAGAGCCTGCTGTTGGCGGGGATATGCGCTATACAAATGCTATTTATTATTATTATTATTATTATTATTAATTACATTTGTCTTCTTTGGCTTGTTTCAGTTCAACGTGTTGGCCACAGATCTTGGCACGCCGCCTCGCTCGTCTCAGTCTGTGGCACGCGTCACGATCAACGTGATCCGCAACCAGAACCCTCCCCAGTTCACGAACGAGCCTTATGGAAGAAACGTGAACCAAACTCTAGCCATTGGCAGTTCTGTCTTCCAGGTCTCGACTGTTGATGCAGACAACTCGGTGAGTTACTGATTGTTTTGAGAAGATGCATTCTTAAAAAAGATATACATTCTGTTTCATTCTGAGAACTGTAAGCTATTATTCGAATTAAGACATCAAAGGGCATTTCACAATAGAGTTTTGTTCTCTTTTGTTATTTCCTTCCTATGTAAATCTAGAGTCATCATTCACGTCTTGATCTGCAGCCTGACCTATGTCTGACACTATAGACTGTTTTATTATTTTATCTTTATCTCCCTCTCTTTGTCAGAATTGGTTTTATTGGCCACAGTAGAAGCCACTGAAGCCTCGTTAACGCTTTGAGGATGTGCGTTTTGGTCATTTGACAATGCTCAAAGACGCGCTGATTTGAAGCATAGCTTCTCTCTTATTGCAGATTTTTCAGTTCTGTTTCCTTCATCCTAAACCTAAAAATGCAGACAACATCCTGTACACTTTGAAATATGCAGATTCGTGTTTCTCATTAAAATTTATGTATGATGGTTTGAAAAGTGCTGCATCTTTGCCTTTTGTCTATTCCTGATTCGACATATTATGATTCCGGGAAACATTCTAATCTGTAGATGCGTTGGTCATCTTCTGGCATTGACTGATGAATTATTATTATTATTATTATTATTATTATTATTATTATTATTATTATTATTATGAGGATGATGATTATGATTTTTCTTCTTCTTTTTACTATTGTTGTTATTATCATTATTATTATCATAATTATTTTGTTGTTATTATTATTATTTCTATTTTCCTCAGGCCCCATACAATGTGGTCAACTATGACCTGATCGGCGACGGAGATTCCCAGCTGTTCTTCGGCATCAACTCAGTGTCGGGTCTGATCAGTCTGTCTCAGAGTATTGTCTCGCAAAGACAGGAGGTCTACTCGGTCAGTGCTTGTGTGTGTGTGTGTGTGTGTGTGTGTGTGTGTGTGTGTCTGTGTGTGTGTGTGTGTAAGTGTGTGTGTGTATGTGTGTGTATGTGTGTGTGTGTGTGTGTGTGTGTGTGTGTGTGAGTTTTATTGTGTGTGTCTGTGTGTATGTGTGTGTGTGTGTGTGTGTGTGTGTGTGTGTGTGTGTGTGTGTGTGCACGTGTGTGTGCCTGTACTTGTGAGTGTGTATGTGAATGTATGTGTGTGTGATTGCTTATGTGTGTGTACATGTGTGTTTATGTGTGTGTATGTGTGTACTTTGTATGTGCGTACATGTGTGTATGGGTGTGCACATGCATATGAATGTATGTGTGTGTATATGTGTGTGTTTGCAAGCGAGCGAACGTTTGTGTGTGTACATGTGAGTTTAGGTATATATGTGTCTTGCTAAATCTTTTTCTTCTAATTTCTTCGATTCAACGTCGTGTGAGTGTGTGTGTGAGCGCTCAAACGTTTGTATGAGACATGTGAGTTTGTGTATATGTGTCTTGCTAAATCTTATTCCTCTAATTTTTTCTCTTCAACGCGTCTAGCTTCGTGTGCGTGCCAGGGATGGAGGTAGTCCCCGGCTCTCCTCCACCGCAGTGGTCACTGTCACGGTCAATCGTAACCTCAACACCCCCGTGTTTGGCCGAGTGTCGTACGAGACCACCATAAGGGAGACTCAAGCGCCTGGAACAGTTGTGCAGTTCGGAATACCAATTACGGCCTCCGACAATGATTTGCAGGTTTGTCTTCAAAAAAGATGAAAAGCATTTTAAACGACCCGTCACTCCCCCTTTTCTCACAAATTGTAAGATCACGCAGCAGCAAATGTGTACCTCTCAATACAAAGAAAAAAAGATATAAAAGAAGTTTTTAACCATCTAGCAGAAGGCTATTGTCAGAATAACCATCAGTGTGTATTGCTGTTTCGAGTATGTATCTATATATAACTCTAAAGGGCTTGTAATTAAATTCATTCATGTGGTTGAATGATGCATCTAATGTGATATGTACATTTTTTTCAGCTTTACTTCTCTTTTAATATTGAATTTTAATGAGAGTAACAAATAATTTAAGTTTCTATGTACACCTGCATGTGTCCTGTACAGCCTAGAAAAATTTCCCTCTGGGATAATAAAGTATTATCTATCTTATTTTATTCTTAATCCACTACCTCACAATTAAAAAGTTCTATCTGACATTTTTGGCCGTTATGAGTTAGTAAGACCTTGAGATAAGAAAGCAAATGCTCTATCTGCTCTATCAAAATCGTAAGATATTCGGAGTTATTTTCGAGATATTCAAAGAATTACATTAGAAAAAGTTCTCAAAACTAGGTATTGAGCCGATAGAACTTTGTAATTCTGAGGTAACAAAGTGGGAATGGGTACCCAGCTATAGACAGTGAAAGATCTAGCCAGTTTGTGAGTGTTTGAGTATGTGCTATCCACAGCTTGCATGCTGTTTGATTCCCGAAGTACAGAGATTGTTTCTGCTTGTTCTAGAGTCTGTTGGGGAGATAATAATTGTAAAGAGCAAAGAGCATGCTGTAAAATTGCTGATATGTGCTACACAAATGCAATTATTTTTATTAATCTGTAATTTAATGATGATAATGGAAACAACTTTGGAAAATGGTGTATGGGTGTCTGAAAGACAATGGATACTTTATGCTTGTGTGAAAACAGTTTAAATATTGAGAATGAATAATTATTTCATTAGTGATGTAAATCATGTTGAGCCCAATAGGGAATTGTATGCTATAGAAATCTACTCATTATGACAATCAGTTCTGCTGTGGGTTGATTGCCCCTGAGATCTAGTTGAAAAGAAGAACAAAGAAGAAGAAGAAGAAGAAGAAGAAGAAGAAGAAGAAGAAGAAGAAGAAGAAGAGGAAGAAGAAGGAGGAAAAGAAGAAGAAGTTTTACATGTGAGAAGTGGCCCTCAAAAACAAATATAATTTGTGTGCTTATGTATTTCCTTATCCTCCCCAGGCTCCATTCAATTCCATTGAGTATTTCTTCGTGAGCTCGATCGACGCTGATCGTTTCTTCATCGATCCTGATCTAGGACAGATCTTTGTCCGAAGGAACTTGGTTGGGGAAGCTGCAAACCAGTACAATGTGAGTTTACTTTTTGTTTTTAGTAAGAGTTTCACGGCATTTACAACACAAATAGGTCACATGAGTGCCGAAGATTCTGGGTGTTACTGAAGAGTTACATATAAAGAAAAGAAAGAGGAGAGATAAAGACGATAAATGTTTGATAGGAAAGACGGAGCAAACCACACGAGAGCACCCGCCAATCTCCTACTCAATGTGAGTTTGTCCCTAGAAGTATGCGACATGTAACATTTTTTGTTAACGAGTTGTTAGAAATTAGTGGGATGAGAACTACAATGGTTGAATTCTTTGCCTTGCTTGCAAAGGGTGTGAGTTCATTTTGTTCATTTTTCATGTAGAGAAAATGTCTTATCAAGTACAATTGAACCTGCCGTTATGGAAACCTTTTTGAGACAAAAACCTGTCTTTATGGAATCTCCCCCCTCTCCCCCCACCCCGCCCCGCTCCTGCAATAAACTCTTCTATAATACATGTGATTGTCTAAGGTGGAAATATTCACAACCCAGAAACAGACAGAGAAATTTGTTTCCTTTTTTAGGGTTTTGATTTGTTGAAGATGGACAATTCTTTTGTCTGTACATTCCATATTTGAAACAAAACTCCACCAGTTTGGTTCTACAGTCCCTTATCTTAACACCATGCTGTCACGCTGATGCATTGCGGACCACAACTGTCTCTTTTTCATTTTTTGTGGCAGTTAAACCAACCCCCCCCCCCTTCAAAACTTTGATACCGACTGTTTCCTTTTCTTTTTTCACTACTGTTGTTCAGCAAAAACTGTCCAGCATCTGTGTTGTAGCAGTAAAGTGCTTTGTCATTGCATGTGGGGAGAATTTTGATAAGTTTCCCAGTCTTTCTGCTGTGACAATGGGTCCCTCTCATCCCAGGTTGGTTCTGACAGGCATTGTCGAAGCCTGCCTCCTGGATGATTCAAATTATGTCGATGGGAGCGTAAAACACATTTTAAAAAGGACAACAGCCCCTTCCCCACAAAATAAAAAACAAACCAAAAAAACACCAAAAAAAAAACAAAAAACAAAATTTTTTAGTAAAAACCCCAGAAAAGCAAAAATCTACTGCTCTGAACCAATGATTTGTTTCTCTATATTTCAGCTGACTGTGGCTGCGAGGGACCGAGCGACCCCGTCACTGACCAGTCAGAGCATCCCAGTGATCATCAACGTGGTGCGCAACAACAACCCGCCCGTGTTCATCAACGAGCCTTACACGGCCACCCTGCAGTCAAGCCTGAACTTTGGCAGTCAGGTCACCATTGTGACTGCCACTGATGCTGATGCCACTGTAAGTTTATACCTCATGGTTAGGCTCTCAGACTTGCAGGGGGGCTGTTGTGGCCTAGAGGTTAAGGTGTTCGCCTTTTGCTGATGCCTCATTTATTCAGTCTTTTTGAGAGAATTTACTGATGCCTTATTTATTCAGTTATTTTGAGAGAATTTACTGATGCCTTTTTTTATTCACCTTTTTAAAGAGAATTCACTGATGCCTTATTTATTCACCTTTTTAAAGAGAATTCACTGATTCCTTATTTATTCACCTTTTTAAAGAGAATTCACTGATTCCTTATTTATTCAGCTTTTATTAAAAAGAATTCACTAATGCTTTATTTATTCACCTTTTTAAAGTGAATCCACTGATGCCTTATTTTTTCACCTTGTTAAAGAGAATTCACTGATACCTTATTTATTCAGTCTTTTTGAGAGAATTTACTGATGCCTTATTTATTCATTTTTTTGGGACGGGATTTTTCTGTTGTTGAGAAAACAAAATAATTTTTTACTGCTATTTTTGTCAACAGGCTCCATTTGGAGAAGTGTCGTACTCCATCATCGGTGATGATTCTGCCGTAACTTTCTTCTCCATCAACTCAGTGACCGGACGGATCACTGTGGCTCAAGGCTTCGGCTCCGACAGCTCGGCCGAGTACCGGGTAGGTTCATCCTCTGTCCTCTGACTCTTGGCTGGGGGAATTTTTTTCTGTTGTTAGTGTTTGTTGTTGTTGTTGTTGTTGTTAACGATCCAGCAACAGCTGAGCTCTCGCCCTTCTGTCCAATGCCATGTAGTGATACGTGCAGGTTTGCTGCAGTTGCTGTAATGTACCATAGAGTGTGTTGTCAATGTTAGGTCTGGAGGGAGAAGGGTAGCTCTGATGTTGTTTAGGGCTTGGCAGTGGAACGTGTCACTGGCCTAGTGGTTAGGCAGTGGGGCTCGCAACTAAAAGGTCATGGGTTTGAATCCCTTCAGGGGCATGATGTTATGTCCATGTGAAAGGCACTTTGTGCAAATTGTCCTCCTTACACCGAGATGGGAATGGGTACTCAACTATAGACTGCTAAAAATCTCTTCATTTGCTAATTTTAAGCAATTAATTGGTTGCTTACACTGTATACTTACCAAAAATCTTAGAATGTTTCTGAGTATTCTAGGGTCTGTTAGGGTAATAAAATAGAAAGAGAGCACACAGGTTGCTGTTTAATAGGGAGTTGAGCTATACAAATGATATTTATAATAATAATAATAATTATAATTATAATCATAATAATAATTATTATTATAATAATTATAATTATAACAATAATAGTAATAATAATAATAATTATTATTACTGTAGATTGTTATGGAACCTTGTGAAAATTAACCCTTTGTTTCATATTGGTGATTCATATTCCCAACAGTTCATGTAACATGACAAGGAATATAGACCAAGATGCAAAGTGTTAAGTGTGCAGAAGCCATCACTTTAAACCAAGGAGGAAACATTTTCTGAAGTCTTTTCATAACCTGGTACCCCCCCCCCAAAAAAAAAAAAGATAAAAAAAAGATAAAGGTTGGGAGAGGGCTTTGGCAAAGTTTATGACAATATGACAGATGTTATATTTCACTTAGTTTGGGCTGTCCCTGACAGGCAGGGTTGAAACCACTTACCTTCCAAATGCTTGAAGTTGTGTCAAATGTGGCGTAAAACACTTCGAGATCAATTTCTTTTTTCTTTTTCAGATCCGAGTGTTGGCCCAGGACGGAGGCGCGCCCAGTAAGTCGGACACGACGGTGGTGGTTGTGAGCGTGACCCGTAACTTGTTCCCGCCGGAGTTTCAGCAGACGCAGCTGTCTGCCTCCATCACGGAGAACCAGGCCATCGGCGACCCGTTCACCGCTGTCTCGTGTGGCGACAGGGACGTTGCTGTGAGTTGTTGTACTCTTTGGTATAGAATTGAGAAAGAAACGATAACATAGATGCTTAGATAAGAAAATCCTTGTAATTATCATACCTGTGTGCATCACACCAGCCACTGGGAGCGGTCACTCGTCATTTTGGGTAGAAGATTTGGCTGCTCCTCAGGTTTGGGGCTGTTCAAATATAATCTTACACCCTTTTTGGGAGTTTTTGCCCCCTCACCCACTCTTACACTTTTCTTATACTTGTCTCTTACCCCCCCCCCCCCCCCATCCCGTAAAAAAGTAAAAAAGTGTAATATTACATTGGTTCAATACCCCCCCCCCCCCCCATCCCCATCCTTTCTTACACTTTTTTTATGGGAGCCAAAGAACCCCCTCTCTTTTTCAGGCGAAAGATTAAATTTGAACGCCCTCTTTAATGAGTTCAATTATTTAAAATGTCTTACTGTGAATTCTGTTCCAGCCTCCCAACAACGAGGTGGAGTACCTCCTGTCAGGCACGGACAAAGTCCTGCAGTTCTTCCAGGTCGGTCGCTCATCCGGTCAGCTGTCGCTTCTACAGCCCCTCTACCTGGATGCTGATGACACGCTGGGATACACGGTAACACGTCTTTGGTTTTGGGTTTTTTTTGGGTCTTTATTTGTTTGTTTGTTTGTTTTTTTTTGGTCCCGTGTCCTGATTTTGGTGCCGGTATTTGTTGGTTACTTGAATAAGTAAATAAGTTTATTCAGTGTTTAAGGCCATTGGCCCACATCACATTATATGAAACTCTCATTTGGTAAATAATGTAGGTTATGTAAAAATGTATTGACATGGTGCAAATTGTTATGTTTTCTAGGAAAACGAAACAAGAAAAAAGGGAATTGTTAAGTCGGTGATGATGATGATGATGATGATGATGATGATGATGATGATGATGATGATGATGATGATGATAACATGTCTTTGTTGATTGAATCATTCAGTGCTACGGATGAGAATATCCGCGAAATCTGGACCCCGCCCACTTACTAGCGATGAGTTTTCTTACATTCTGCCTCGTTGTCTTTATAGAAAGAATTACTGTATCTAATCCATACCAAGTTATTTGACCCCACGGGGCAGTGCCACTGACTGAAGTGTCTTTAGGCCATTCCCAAAGGGAGGACATATCTCGTTCAAGCACAGTAGAATTGTAAATGGGCTGATTCATGTCACGCACATAACTGTGCCTGATCTACAACAGGGAACTGCTGCTTTTTCTTTCCTGATCCTTACTATTGTCATTTCCCTCTACTTCTTTTGTATGTTTATCACACTCTTGTGACCTGCTATTTCCGGGGTGCCTTGATAGTCGAAGCAGACGCTGTGCTGTTGAAGCTAGAGAGGTGAGCAGAGTAAGTCTGATTCCCTGTAAAGACTTCTCTGTTGACACCCACCCCTTGGCGCTCATATGACCTTATGCAGTTGCGAGCGCCGTAAAACCATCTACTATAAAAAAAACACAAAAAAACAAGTTCTTTGAACTAATCATGATGCATTATGGGAAACATCAAGGAGACATTTTTTCTGCTCAAACAGCCATTGAGCCCGCTACGTTTGATTGATTATCCTGGCTAGACCTAATTTCATGATGCCATAATAAAACTGCCCAGTATATGAGGGGATTTCACTGCTGGAACACTCAGCATTGAATGATCAAAAGAAGCAGACTGCAGTCTAGTACGCCCATAGCAAAATTGGTAGGATTCTGAAATCTTTTTGTTATGTACAAATTTCTCTAGGTAAATGTTTTAAATGTATTGTGACATGGTAAATACATACACAAACACACTTGTCAACGCTCACACACACACACACACACACACACACACACACACACACACACACTCGTACATTTACACACACACACACACACACACACGCACCCACATACACACACACACACTCACTCACACTCACACACCCACACACACACACTCACACACACACACACGCACTCACACACACACGCACACACACACATACACACACAAATAGTCATTGGCTGGACATACCCCAAAACAACCCCCCCCCCTACAAAAATGACACATTGTGGTTTCCTTTCCCGACAGCTGGTTGTCACATGCAGAGACCTGGGCAACCCCCCTCTGACAGCCGGGAACACGGCCACTGTGACCGTTGGTGTGTCGAGGAACCTGAACGCGCCCGAGTTTCTGAACACGCCGTACAACCGGACAATCAGCAGCAACACGGGAAGTGGGACCAGCATCTTTCAGGTCTCCGTCTTGGACCGGGATAGCGTGGTGAGTCACGATTACTCCTAGCTCTAAGTTGCACTTTAAAAAAAATTAGCGGACCTAATTAAACTTTATTTTTCATAATATTTGTTCATGTCCCTTTAGACATTATTACATGCTATTATTTAAACCTCATTACAAAGATACTGCATCACTTTTTTAGAATGCATGCCACTTTTTCTGAAATACTGCTGAATAGGCCGGGACTGGGGTTAGGGAGTGCACAAAAATGGCTGGGGCTGAAAGGGTTAAATGTACAAAGTGTTATTATCTTCATCATCAGCATCAGTATAAGCTTGAAGTATAATGAAAATAATTGTTTCTTGTTTTTTATGTTGTGTGTATCTTTCAGTCTCCGTACAACCAAGTTTCTCTGCAAGTGATTGGTGATGACAGCGCTCCTACGTTCTTTACCCTGGGGAATGACCGCATCATTCGCGTGTCAAATGTGGCCGATCTCAATGCCAACACGCTCTCTTTCTACCGGGTAAGTGACTTGAGTCAAATGTGTTCTTGTGGCGTGCTCTTGGTACGATCACATGAAGGCAGATAGAAATCAAGACTTTTCTCTTCTGTTTTTTCATATTTTGTTTACTTCCTGTAAGTGCCAACGTTATAGAGGAAATTGAGAATGATGTATTTTATTTAAAAATTTGCTTTTGAACTTCTTAGTCTTATATTTTATGTTTTATTCAAAGCTTACAATTTTGAATGTATAGTTTTTTATCAAAATATTTTTAATGTCAGAAATGGAGCAATTCCCATCCCCCTTTTTTTTCATCTTCAGAATCAAGTCTTCTGTCTTTGTGTGCATATTTGTGATTGCTTGCTGAAATAATCCTTTTGAAAACAGATATTTTTTCTTTCCTCAGTGAAAAAGATGTGTAATCTTATGTCCTCTGAGCTTAGTCCGGATTATAAAAAAACTTAAAAATTAGCGTATCATTCATTTTCATGTTCCAAAGGATTATACTTCTCGTATGACATTTCACGTTCCTAATTCTCTCTACATTTGGCATTTTCAGCTTCGTATCGTCGCCCGTGATGGAGGTACCCCAACTTTGTCCGCTCAGACCACGGTGGACATCAATGTCCGCAGGAACCTGTTCACCCCTCGCTTCACAACGGATCTGGTTATCCGTCTGAACATCGCGGAGACCACAGCTATCGGCACATCCATCACACAAGTGCAAGCCACAGATGACGATGAATTTGTAAGGGCTACTGATGAGATTAACTCTTTCACTACCGGGGGGAGGGGGGGTTTCCTCACCTGGACTGGGACCTATCTGTGACCTACTTTCTGATTCTGCCTACCAATGGACAAATGAAAGATTTTGAGCCAATATCAGCCACATGTATTATATATGAAAATTAAGGGGAAATAATGACCTATCTCAACATGTTGCTAAAAACGATAATTCTTCAGCCTTAGATTTCAGTTTTGATTATTACAAAAGTAGGTGTGGCTTTGAAACAGGAAGTGGAGAGCCGTGAAACTTGGTTTGCGGTCCGGTGTTGGGAGTAACACGAACCGTGAAACTCCGCTCACGGTAGTGAAAGAGTTAAAGAATGCAATACTTGATCCTTTGATTTAGATCAGTTCTTGTCAGCCTAGTTGATACCATCCACAAGTGGGTGATTTGGTAATTTTGGTGGGTGGTGGGGATCCCCAGTGTAGAGATAAGTGTTATTTGATACCTTACTTGGAAATACATGGAGGTTTGCTGTATGAGAATTTATTTTTAGTTTGACATTCACTCTCTATAGCCGGTAAAATCCCAGCCGGAAATCTTCTTAGTGCTATTTATTAATAAACTTATTTATTTATTATTATCATCATTCTGCCACAGCTGAAGCCACAAGTCATTGTAAGCTTCAATTCCTGAAATTCTTCTATTTAGCTGGAGAAATATGATGTATTGGTTATCGTCAGAAATCATTATTATTATTATTATTATTATTATTATTACTATCATATTTTTATTATTACTATTATTATTATTATTATTATTATTATTATTATTATTATTATTATTATTATTATCATTATTATATCATCATAACTCTCATGGTGTCTCTAATCTTCCTCCCCTCAGAGCCCCAACAATGAGGTGAACTACGCTGCCGTGGGAGACGGTGACGCCCCGGACTACTTCTTTGTGAACCCACTGACAGGAGAGATCACTCTGCTCCAACCCATCCTGAGCATTCCTTTCAGCGGCTTTGTGGTAAGATTGTAGGAAATGTTTTGCCCTCACTGAGCCTAACCCTTTAACGCTTTGCTATCACAAGGCTCATATATAATAAAAGCTGTTCCCTTCAAAGCAAAGGCATTTTGGGAAAATCTAAAAAAACTGGGCGGTAAACATCGCTAATCGGCGAGATGAGACGGCAAAGTGTTAACTCTTTGATAGAGTGTCTGTCTGATTGAGACGTCAGTGATGTTGTATGTTCTTCAAATACTATCTCTCTCTAGCTCTCTTTGAGTCTCTGTCTGTCTGTCTGTCTGTCTGTCTGTCTGTCTGTCTGTCTGTCTGTCTGTCTCTCTCTCTCTCTCTGTGTCTCTGTCTCTGTCTCTTTGTCTGTATGTATCTCTCTCTCTCCCTTCTCTCTTCCCCACTCTATGTTCAGCAGATGTTCCGTTTCATTTTCTTTAATCTATCATCTCTTCTGTCTTTCCGTTCCTTTTCTTTGCCATTTTCTCCCTTCATAACGGCCATTTTGAGTTCAGTAGAACATTACACTCAGAGGTCAGCGTCAGTTCATGTTGGATGAACTTTTCATTGTTATTGAACTTCTACAAAAATCTGAAAACATGTTTCTATGTTGTGTTTTTTCTGAAACGTGTTTCTGTTTTGCGTTTTTGCTAAAACATGTTTAGTCAAAAGCTTTTCTGTTTTGAGTATTTGCTAAACCTGTTTCTGTTTTGTATTTTTGCTGAAACATGTTTTTGTTTTATGTTTTTGCTAAAACATGTTTCTGTTTTGTGTTTTTGCTAAAATCTGTTCCTTTTTGTGCGTTTTTGCTGCTACGTTTTATTGTTTTGTGTTTTTGTTGAAACATATTTCTGTGTTGTATTTTCGTTAAAACCTGTTTCTATTGTGTGTTTTTGATGAAACCTGTTTTTGTGTTGTGTTTTTGTTAAAACATATCTTTATGTTGTGTTTTTGCCTAAACATGTTTTTGTGTTGTGTTTTTGCCTAAACATATCTTTATGTTGTGTTTTTGCCTAAACATGTTTTTATGTTTTTTTTGTTGCTAAAACCTGTTTTAATTTTATGTTTTTGCTAAAACGTGTTTTTATTCTTCAGCTGCGTGTGGAGGCGCGAGACAAGGGCACCCCGAGTCTGTTCGCGCTGGCCACAGTTGAGATCGGCATCCTGGACTCGGAGACCCTCCAGTTTGTGCAGCAGAACTACGCCACAAGCATCTCAGAGAACCTGGGTGTGGGGCAGGGAGTGATACGGGTGGTGGCTCAGCCGGGGGTAGGTTGTCGTACTTTTTGGGGTTTTGTCGTTGTAGTTGTTGTTGTATATTTGTTGTTGTGTATATGTTGTTGCTGTGTTGGCATTTACTTACTGTTGTTGTTGTTGCTGTTATTGTTGTTGTTGTGTATTTGTTGATGTGTATATGTTATTGCTGTGTTGGCATTACTGTTGTTGTTGTTGTTGTTATTGTTGTTGTTGTGTATATGTTGTTGCTGTGTTAACATTACTGTTGTTGTTGTTGTGTTTGCCCCTCTGTTGTTGTTTTATTATTGTTGTTGTTTTTGATTCAACTGCAGCCCATGGTTTGTATCCTCTGACATGGTGGCGTGTTCTGGAAGAAGGTAGAAGTCTTTATGAAAGTTCTATTATAGTCAATCTCATACCAGAGGATCAAAGTCAAGGTACAGGAAAAAGACAGACAAATTCAAGTCATAAATAAAAAAAAAGCATTGATTGTGCAAAGCAAGCACTATAAACTCTGAAAGGTCGTCTGAAAAAAGTGTCTTTTGATATGTTAATTTGGATAATTTCCCATCTTACCTTCTGAAATTTTTGAATAGGTTCAGTGAAGGCCTACTGTGTTCGTCTTCGTGATCTAATAGACAATAATCTTTGTAAATAAGCTCTAAATATTTATGTTGACTCATTGCTCTGAAATCTGCAAACTGTTTAGCATGCCTCAGATTTATAAAATGTGTTAATTGTCAAATCAGGAAATACCTGAAAGTGATGTTAACGAACTGGCACAATAGAGCATGAGTTATTAAAAACTATGAGTCCCAGATTAAAAAAAAAAGAGTTACTAAAAGAGCCTCTTACAATTCCGTTTTAGGAGTTTTCTTCGTACTGAAGAAACCATCAATACCACTACTATTTTTACAACAAAATTGTCGTTGAATGCTAAGGAGGATTTGGCCCAAAATGTCTTGAAATTTGCTTATTTTAGAAATGTTGTAAGTTTATAAGTTTAACTTTAACTTATTTCTTCCTCCTATCCTCTCAGCCTGATGTGACCTACAAACTGACCGGTCTGAGCGATGGTCCCGACTACTTCAACATCAGCGAGACCACCGGGAACATCTTTGTCCGCACCGACCTCAGAACTGACCTCAACAGGAAGGCTTTTTATCTGGTGAGCAAAGATTTCGTCGCCCTCGAGTACAACAACATTGTATCCCACAAAAACAAAATTTTACAGGAGAAGGAAACAAGTTTGTCAATTCATCGAACAAAGTTGGTTATTCATTACTGAGATACTCTTGTCTTAGCCCAGAATCAAGGCACTTGGGTACTTACCTGTGGGTACCTGCGGCAACCCACAACCATTTCAGTTTGCCTTGTTTTACTTTATTAAATCTTATGAGTGTCTTTGTAAAAGAAAAATTCTTACTGGGGGGAATGATCAATAAAGTCGTCTTTTCTTTTGTTAAAAAAATGTATTTATGGTTTTTAAAAAGAAAAGTATTTATGGTTTGGCTAAGAGAAATGTATTTTGGTTTGTAAAAAAGAAATGTATTTATGATTTTGTTAAGAGAAATGTATTTATGATTTTGTTTAGAGAAATGTATTTATCATTTTTTTTAGAGAAATGTATTTATGATTTTGTTAAAAGAAGTGTATTTATGATTTTGTTAAAAGAAAAGTATTTACGATTCCAATGTATTTATGGTTTTGTTATAAGAAATGTGTTAATGGTTAACACCTCTGTGTCATGGATTGTTTCTCTCAGCTGCGTGTGGAAGCGTCAAAATTGTTCTCCACTGGCCTCAAAACGGCGGTGTCACAAGTGAACATCACCGTGATCCGCAACGAGAACCCGCCCGTGTTCAACCCAGACTTTTACGTCACAGAAGTGGCAGAGTCACTCAGTCTAGGCTCAGCGGTCGTCCAGTTAACTGCTACTGACCGGGATGTGCAGGTAAGCACAGGTTTTGACATTGGGTTTTTTTTGTTGTTGTGTTGGGGATTGTTATACTTTGTTATTTGAATGTTATACCCGGTTATTTGAATGTTATACCCGGTTATTTGAATATTGTTGTACCTGGTTATATGGACATTTTTGTACCTGTCCCAGTTTTTTGGGATATGGTCAAGATAGTACATAACAAGATGGTCCACTGAGCCAAAAAAGTGTCCGCCGGAAGTTCGCTCTTTGTTTCAGATGGCGCTGCAGTCTGTTTTGAAGCTCTCTTTCGTTTTTCCAGAAGAAGAATTTCTAAAGTCAAATTAAACGAAGAAAACAATCTCCCCTTCCTCCAGAAAAGGTTTTTTGTCAGCGTAACCATTTTAAAAAAGCGTTCTTCCGAAATTTATTAAAAAACTTGCTAGTTTCGCTTAGATTTTTTTCACACTAGTAGGGTGACTCTGTTCGCAAACGGTGCGCATTTGTGAAGAGGGCACCACCGAATTTTGAGGACACTTTTTTAATTGGCTCAAAGAGAGGAGTGGCCCCTCTTGTTATGTAGACTCTTTGATATGGTTGTACATGCGCTTGGTTATTTGGATATTGAAACGGTAATACATGTAACTGGTTATTTGGAATTGGTTGTACATTATTCTCATTGTTTTAAGTATTGTTGTGTGAAAACTTGATTATTTAGAATTGGTTGTACATGTTTCTGGTTGTTTGAGTATTGTTGCACATGTTCCTGGTTATTGGACACTTTTGTTCACGGTAATTTGGAAATTGTTGTAATTGTAGGCTACCTGTTTATCTGGAAATAGTTGTAATTGTAGGCTACCTGTTTATCTGGAAATAGTTGTACATATACCTGGTTATTTGGATAAGGTTGTGCATGTACCTGCATATTGGATATTACTGTTCATGGTTAATTTGGAAATTGTTGTGGACGTACCCAAATATTTAGAAGTGATTGTACCCTGTACTATTTGTTTGTCTCCGCCCCAGGATGACCTTCAGTATGAGCTGGTGGAGGAGGCCGGAGTGACCGACTTTTTCTACCTGGCTCCGAACACGGGACTCATCTCTCTCAAACGGCTGTTGGAAGGACAGACAACTCCGCAGTATGAGGTAGAGAAAATTTGCCCACAGAGTGTGCACAGTTATGTTTGATAATGGTGTGAAGAAAAATGAGGATCGGATGCTTTTGAAATGTGATTTTACAAGTTGAAAATTGCCTCCAACGGGTCTAGCAGTAGATTTCTTACACTTTGCAGTCTTAATTTGAGGACTACAGGGGAAAAACAGATTTGATCATATTTCTCTGCCATTGAAAAGTTAGATCCAAAGAATTCCTATTTCTTTCATGTGTAGAATTGTAAGAAGTTGTTGTGTTCTGCTGTTGAAATGTTCTTTCACTGCTTATTTTAGACTGATTTCAACTTTGTATGTCATCCTTGTGTTGCATAGTGGAGATTTGAAGAAAAGGACTATGGTTAGGATATCACTAGTTTTGCTCTTGTATTCCTCAATTTCATGTGTGTCTCGATTCCTTGTTGCAGTTCCAAGTGAGGGTGACAGATTCGTTTGTGAACCCCAAGTTTGACCTGGCTAACGTGCGGGTCAATGTGAGGCGGGACGTATTCGCCCCAGTTTTCGTCAACACCCCTTACTCGACAGGCGTGGCTTACAACACACCCGTTGGTACAAGTATCTACCGAGCCACAGCTCAGGACCAAGATCTGGAGGTAAACTGGAAGAAAAAGTAGTGGAAGCTATGGGATGATTTTTTCCAATTTTTTTCTGTTGTAATCTTAGTATTGTTATATGACATATCAAGGGATTGCAGTTTATGTAAACATTGCTAATCCCTCACTGATTCAGTTAATTTTAGCACAATTATGTATAATTTTATAGCTTTATATTTATAATCAAAGCTTGTAGTTGAGGTATTTTGAGCGTTGAGAATTGTAATACACTCTTGGAGATTTTGTCATTGAATAATATCACATTAACCTTGTGGTAATCTCATTATATTTCCCGATTGCTTTTAGCAATTTTAAGTTATAAGGCTATTTTCCTTACACACAAAATAATACTGTGATAATTTCTATTGTACAATACAGTGCTATGTGCTTTCAAAACCTTCATTTTAACACAAAATACATGTGCATGATTCATCACACATACACCCTTTGGATTGATGCTATCACATAAGCAGACATTCATACTACTACAGCACAATTGATGATGATATACAAACTTCATTAAGAAACAAAGAGTACTGTGGATTAAAAAGGACTTACAAAAGACATAAGTTTGATATTTTAGAGAGCATATCTATTTTTCTGAAAGGATAATATACTCCATTCTAAAGTTCTGACTGGAGAAACAGAAGTAGTTAAATGTTAAGAATTGTGTCCACAAGGGATAGGGACACGCAACAAATTATCAGATTTGTCTGTCCCTTTCTTTGCTGCTTGTCAGTTCATTTTGATCTAAAGTTCAATCTTCTCTGTACCTTCAGGGCTTCATCATTTATGAAATCATCGGCTACTTCGCTGCCCCCGGATACTTCAACATCAACCCCAGCACTGGCGACATCACGGTCAGAGCTCTCCTCAACAACGATGTCTCAACCAACTACCTTGTAAGTCCCTGGGATGCACGGGTGGTTAGAGGGTGTCACTATATAATTGCTTTCTGCTTGTTTGTTCAGTCTGTTGTAGCTTAAAATCTGTGCTTACTAATCTGGGTGGGACCACCCGCTTGTGGCTGATTTGGTAATTTTGTTGGGTGGCGTGGATCTCTCGTGTTGTGACCTGGTTACCTGGAGGTGTCATCTCTGACTCAGAGGTTGACGTGGAATGACTCTCCATCCTTCATGGTTTCGAGCTGTCGTTGCACATTCTGTTTTATCTAGGCCAGTCCATGTTTTAATGTTGTCCATCCGTGTTACTCTATGTCTTCCCCTGGCTCTCCTGTCCCACATCCTTCTTTCCAACACCTCTTACACAGTGGTCAATTGTGTAAATTTGCCTGAGTAAACAGCAACAGCCTTCTGACTGACCTTGACCTATCATTTTCCAGCTTGGCCTGAGAGCGTACGACAGTGAGAGGCCCGGTCAGGTCGCTACAACTAATGTGACCATCCTGGTCAACCGAAACCCGACGGCACCGGTCATCACCAACCTGCTGGACAGCCGGAGGATCCCGGAGACGTTCACGCTGGGCATTGATATACTTACTGTGGAGGCTACCGACGCTGATGGGGTAGGTTGTTGTTGTTGTTGTTGCTGCTGCTGTTGTGTGTGTGGATGTGTGGATGTGTGTGTTTGTGTGTGTGTATGTGTGGATGTGTGTGTTTGTGTGTGTGTATGTGTGGATGTGTGTGTGTGTATGTGTGGATGTGTGTGTTTGCGTGTGGATGTGTGTGTGTATGTGTGGATGTGTGTGTTTGTGTGTTTGTATGTGTGGATGTGTGTGTTTGTGTGTGTGTATGGGCATTGATATACTCACTGTGGAGGCTACGGACGCTGATGGGGTAGGTTGTTGTTGTTGTTGCTGCTGTTGTTGTGTGTATGTATGTGTGGATGTGTGAGTTTAGTGTGTGTGTATGGGCATTGATATACTCACTGTGGAGGCTACGGACGCTGATGGGGTAGGTTCATGTTGTTGTTGTTGTGTGTGTGTGTGTGTGTGTGTGTGTGTGTTTGTGTGTGTTTGTGTGTGTGTATGTGTGTGTGTATGGGCATTGATATACTCACTGTGGAGGCTACGGACGCTGATGGGGTAGGTTCATGTTGTTGTTGTTGTGTGCGTGTGTGTGTGTGTGTGTGTGTGTGTGTTTGTGTGTGTTTGTGTGTGTGTATGTGTGTGTGTATGGGCATTGATATACTCACTGTGGAGGCTACGGACGCTGATGGGGTAGGTTGTTGTTGTTGTTGCTGCTGTTGTTGTGTGTATGTATGTGTGGATGTGTGAGTTTAGTGTGTGTGTATGGGCATTGATATACTCACTGTGGAGGCTACGGACG